GTCTCCCTCCCCCTCCCCCTTCTCTTCCCCCTCTGCCTCCCCCTGCCTCCTCCCCCTGCCTCCTCCCCCTTCCTCTCCCCCTCCCTCTTCCCCCCTCTCCTCCTCCACTCTCCTCCCCTTCCCTTTGAGAGAGAGTCTCCCTCTGTCGCCCAGTCTGGGAGTGTAGTGGTGCGATCCTGCCTCACTGCAACATCAGCTTCCCAGGTTCAAATGATTCTCATGCCTCAGTCTTCCTAGTAGGTGGGATTACAGGTGCCCACCACCACACCTGGCTAAATTTTTGTATTTTTAGTAGAGAGGGAGCTTCGCCCTGTTGGTCAGGCTGGTCTGGAACTCCTGACCTCAAGTCATCTGCCCACCTTGGACTCCCAAAGTGCTGGGATGACAGGGGTGAGTCACTGTGCCTGGCTCATAAACATACTTAACTATCCATAGATCTGAGAGGCAGGTTTTATTAACTCCATTTTATGGATTAGGACACAGGCTTATATAAGGCTTGATGCTATGTCTCCACAGGAGACAGGCTGGGCCATTTGCAGTCAACGTTGACCAGTTTTATAATGAAATTTATGACAAAAAAAGAGTGTACTCACCTTTTGTATAGTATGGTCAGGTTTATTATTGTACAGATTGAATAAGATCAAAGTCATGGTATTAGGAGGACACGTTTTTCTTTGTTTTTGAGATGGAGTCTCACTTTGTTGCCCAGACTGGAGTGCAGTGGCAGGATCTCGACTCAATGCAACCTCTGCCTCCCAGATTTAAGCAATTCACCTGCCTCAGCCTCCCTAGTAGCTGGGATTACAGGTGCCTGCCACCACGCCCAGCTAATTTTTTGTAATTTTAGTAGAGACGGGGATTTCACCATGCTGGCTGGGCTGGTCTTGAACTCCTGATCTCGTGATCCATCTGCCTCCACCTCCCAAAGTGCTAGGATTACCTGCGTGAGTCACCGCGCCCTGCATGTTTTTCTTAAGTACTAGAAGAGTTGGTACCTAGAAAGAAATTAATCTTCAGAGTGGTGAATTATGTTGGATTTTAGGCACCTTAGGCCTAACCCAACACAACCTCCTCTAAGGGCCCTTCCCCCCTTCCAACAAATGGCCTAGAATTCTTTTCTGTCCTGGGGTCAGGAAAAACAAAGCTGAGAAGAAATATTTTAACATTCTCTGAATGCTTTAAAAGGGAAAATTTGCAAGACTAAAGAATAGATTGGAGGGGAGGTAGGTTCTGAGGAAGAAGGGGGTGGGGCCCTGTATAGGCAGTGAAGAGCTGCTCTCAGCTGGAAGGGGATTGGGATCTTCTTGGAGGACTGGGGCGTCTGGTTGGAACACCCACAAAAGCTTATGCAATGAGGCTGTGCCCCTTTTGCAGTACAAGGTTGCAAATTATCCAAGCCAAGGGCAGAAATCTCAATGTCCTTTTTACTCCATATGGCCTTGGGATTCTCCCACAGGCCTCCAGTAAAGAGCTGCTGGGTCCACGAAAGGCTGCGGCAGTGGCGGGGTTGGGAATAAGGATAATCCCACTCCTCGGCCAGTGGATGGACAGTCACCCATGTCTCTACTGTGGACCACAGGACAGCGAAGGCAAAAACCGGCAGACAAGTCCCAGGTGGGAGCGAGTAGAAGGAGGCATCTTCTTTTCTTCCTTCTAGAGGGTAACTAAGAGGGTGTGGAGGGAGCAGTCATGGCGGGAGGCTGAGGATTGCCACGCTCGTTTCCTGAGTTATTGTTTGCTGATGGGGTTCTAGGATTCTAACGGAGATCTGTAATTCCGAAGCCTTCTCACTCTTCCTGGCAGATGGCCAATGTTTCAGTATTGAGTTTGTAAGGGTGCAGGCAGGAAAAGAGAAAAAAGTCTTGCTGTGTTGCACTGGAGGGCTATCAAGTGCGATCCCAATATATATATTTTCTTTTTTATTTATTTTTTAAGAGTGCAATGGTGCGATCTCGGCTCACTGCAACCTCTGCCTCCCAGGTTCAAGCGATTCTCCTGCCTCAGCCTTCCAAGTAGCTGAGATTTCAGGCATGTGCCACCACACCTGGCTAATTTTTGTATTTTTCATAGAGATGGGGTTTCATTATGTTGGCCAGGTTGGTCTTGAACTCCTGACCTCGTGATCTGCTCACCTCAGCCTCCCAAAGTGCTGGAATTACAGGTGTGAGCCACCATGCCCGGACTTCTTTTTTCTTTATTTATTTTGAGATGGAGTCTCACTCTGTCACCCAGCCTGCAGTGCAGTGGCATGATCTCTGCTCAGTGCAACTTCTGCCTCCCAGGTTCAAGCGATTCTCCTGCCTCAGCTTCCTGAGTAGCTGGGATTATAGGTGTGCCCCACCATGCCTGGCTAATTTTTTTGTGTTTTTAGTAGAAACAGGGTTTCACCTTATTGGTCAGGCTGGTCTCAAACTCTTGACCTTATGATCCATCTGGCTCGGCCTCCCAAAGTGCTGGGATTACAGGTGTGAGCCACCAAGCCTGGAGGTTCTTTTCATTTACTTGAGACTGAATCTCACTCTGTCACTTAGTCTGGAGTGCAGTGGGGAAATCACAGCTCACTGCAGCCTTGACCTCCCACTTCAGCCTCCCAAGTCACTGGGACTACAGGCACATGCCACCACTCTTGGCTAATTTAAAAAAAAATTTTTTTTAGAGACAGGGTATCCCCTATGTTGCCCAGGCTGGTCTCAAACTCCCAGGCTTAAGTGATCATTATGCCTGGATCTCCCAAAGTGCTGGGATTACAGGCATGAGCCACCACACCCAGCCCACCCCAGTGTTTCTTAAATCTCAGTGGCCAGACCTGGGATAGGTTGCTATTCGAACTTGGCTTGCAGTTTTCTTTTTCTTTCTTTCTTTTCTTTTTTTTTTTTTTTTTTGAGACGGAGTCTTGCTCTGTCACCAGGCTAGAGTGCAGTGGTGTGATCCCGGTTCATTGTAACCTTTGCCTCCCAGGTTCAAGTGATTCTCCTGCCTCAGCCTCCTGAGTAGCAGAGATTATAGGCATACGCCACCACTTCCGGCTAATTTTTGTGTTTTTAGTAGAGACAAAGTGTCATCATGTTGGCCAGGATGGTCTCAATCTGTTGATCTCGTGATCTGCCCGCCTAGGCCTCCCAAAGTGTTGGGATTACAGGCGTTCTAATAGCCACTTCTAAGTCTTCTCAGCTTTGTAATGCCCCAGACTTTCAGCAGCAGCCTGGTGTTGGCTATGCTTAGGGTAATAAGGGAGGGGGGTGTGTCCGCACTCAGGATTTGCTTCCATCCTCTAGAATCTGACTCCAGATCCCCAGGCCAGAGTGGTGGTAGCTACAGGTGGGTGGCTGGTGATTCTGAAGCTCAAGGGGGTGGCTTGCAGCAGAATTCTAAAATGCCATTTTTTTTTTTTTTTTTTTGAGACGGAGTCTTGCTCTGTTACCCAGGCTGGAGTGCAATAGTGCAAACTCACTGCAATCTCCACTTCCCAGATTCAAGCGATTCTCCTGCCTCAGCCTCCCAAGTACCTGGGATTAGAGGCGCACACCACCATGCCTGGCTAATTTTTGTATTTTTTTTAGTAGAGATGGGAAATCTCACCATCTTGGCCAGGCTGGCCTTGAACTCCTGACCTCAAGTGATTCACCTGTCTTGGCCTCCCAAAATGCTGGGATTACAGGCATGAGCCACCACATCCGATCCGGAATGCTGTCTACTGAGGAAAGAAAGAGGCTGTACTGGGGAGTGCCAGAGTTCGAGTTCAGGCAAGTGTAAAACTCTGGCCTTAACTGAATCATAAGTAGGAAACAAGTTAGGAATGGATTTGTGGGGCATGAAAACCTTTGAGGATTCTCAGGATTGTTTAGAAGAGGGGACTGGATTTTCTGTCACTAAATAGGGTGGGACTTGTTCTACAGTTGATAATTTTTGGGGGGGGTGTGTTGAGGTCCCACTCTGTCACCCTGGCTGGAGTGCAGTGGTGTGATCTCGACTCACTGCAGCCTCTACCTCCTGGGCTCGGCCAGCCCTGTCAGCTCAGCCTACCAAGTAGCTGGGACTACAGGTGCATGCCACCACACCCGGCTAATTTTTGTATTTTTTGTAAAGACAGGGTTTTACTATGTTGCACAGGCTGGTCTCAAACTTCTGGGCTCAAGCGATCTGCCCACCTCGGCCTCCCAAAGTGCTGGGATTTAAGGCAGGAGCCACCTCTCCCAGCCTATAGTAGACAATTAACTAGAAGTACGACCTTGGGATTGTAGAGTGAGGGTAATGAGACTCATTCCTTACCAACCCAGGGTAGGAGACATTAATGGCCTGCAGGTTTCACCCTTAAATTTCTGTGAAGACTATCTTGACATCTGCCCTTTCCTTCTCTCCCTCAGTGTGTGGTTTTCCTTTCTCTGGCTCCCACTGCACTCTGCACACACCTTTATCACAGTAACCACTTATGCTGTATCGTAATTTGTAATTATCTACGTACACGTCTCCAAGTAGACTGACCTCAAGGGCGAGGGACTGACGCTTGTACTCAGCCCCCAGGTTCAAGTTCCAGCTGCGTCTCTAGTTAGTTTCGTGATCTTAGGCAAATAACTTAATCGCTCTATGCCCCAATTTCCTTGACTTATAAAGTTGGCATAAAACTTTCTGTCATATGCGATTGCTGGGCGACATTAAGGTGACAATGCGTGTAAAGCACGAGGCAAAAGGTAAGTAAAAAATAAACGGCTCCTAAAACGGTAAACGTGTGTTCATTAACCTGATCCGCCTTTACGTGTGCACTCAGCAAACACTGAGCACCAAATGTCCTCTGGGACCCCGGAACGCCTCCTCCTCAGCGGAGCAGCCTCACGTGTGGCCTGTGGGCCTTGTCCCACGGGCCGGCTCGGAATTGGCTCCGCCGAAGAGCAAACCCCGCCCACAGCCCTTCCGATCTCGTCAGCGATTGGGCCGGGGCCGTCCCACACTTATTCTTGTTGCTGGTCTCGGAAATAGGGGGCGCTGCCAGATTGCGCGTGCGCAGATTGAGAATGAAGCTTTCCGGTCGGGCGGGAGGAGGTGACGTCAGGAGCGGTGGCGGGCGGGGTCCTCGGGTATCCCTGGGGACGCTGTATCTGTGGGCCCTTAAATCGCGTCACAAATCAGCGACCGAACTCTGGCTGAGGTGGCTGAGGCGGCGAAGGCGGCAGCGGCGGCGACAGCTCTGGGGTTTGCGTCTCGGGGTGTGTCGGCCGCCGCTGCTGCTCGGGCCTGGTATGTACAGATGGCTGGTTAGGATTCTCGGCACCATTTTCCGTTTCTGCGACCGGTCGGTGCCCCCTGCCCGGGCCCTCCTGAAGAGGCGGCGCTCAAACAGGTGAGACGAGAGGGGGCTGAGCGCCGGCCTGGCCCTCCCCCCTCCCCCACAGCGGCCTCCGCGGCGGCCGCGATGCTTTGATTCAGCCAGGCTCACCTGAGGCGGGTCGCCGGGCTGAGGCCAGAGGGCTGCGGGTCGCCCCCGCCGCGCCGTGGGAGGCAGCTCCTGATGAAGGAAGAGCGGGTCGTCTTCGGAGCGGCGGGTGATGGCAGGGTCGTTGACGTTCTTGTCAGGGCACGCTGGTTGCCGATAACTAATCGGGCTTTGCCGCGCTGAGGCTGAACACTAGCATTGAAGGAATACTGTCTTTGTTGTGGCTCACTGCTCACAAAGCACCCTCCCAAGTGTCATCTGCGGTCATTAAGTGCAGTTAAAGGAAGTGAGAGTCATAGATTGCCCAAAGCCGTTTTGACTGCAGCCACTGTCCTTGCAGCGAGAAACGGCAGCTGTTTTGTTCTGAAACAGCTGTCAAACAGTCTGCGTTTGGGGCCAGAAGGGATTTGTGTTTTAGAATTAGTGAATGAGAAAAAAGGGCTCGGTGCCTTACTACTTTAAAACAGTCACTTGTCTGTACTCTTAAATTCAGTTAAAATTTGGGGGAAACTCAAAGCTGTTTTCTTTTTCTCTTGGTTGAGACGGAGTCTTGCTCTGTCGCCAGGCTGGCGTGCAGTGGCGCGATCTGGACTCACTGCAACCCCCGCCTCCCAGGTTCAAATGATTCTCCTGCCTCGGCCTCCTGAGTAGCTGGGATTACAGGCGTGTGCCACCACGCCTGGCTAATTTTTGTATTTTTAGTAGAGATGGGTTTCACCATCTTGGCCAGGCTGGTCTTGAACTCCTGACCAAAAGTGATTTGCCCACCCCAGCCTCTCAAAGTGCCGGGACTACAGGCATGAGCCACCGTGCCCCGCCCCAAAAGCTATTCTTATTTATCATCTGCTCTTTGGAGCGTCGCATTTTATCGAATCGACCTCCTTGCCTAAAAATTAATCTAGAAAGGCCGGGCGCGGTGGCTCAAGCCTGTAATCCCAGCACTTTGGGAGACCGAGGCGGGTGGATCACGAGGTCGAGAGATCGAGACCATCCTGGTCAACATGGTGAAACCCCGTCTCTACTAAAACTACAAAAAATTAGCTGGGCATG